TTTTCAGTCCGAAACGAATCATTAAGATTGCATTCGCCATTTCGATCGACATCTTATTTCGTACTTTATTTTTTACGAGATTTAATTGGCTAAATATTCACTCAACTTATGCATTTGAATACGGTAAAATGAGCATCGACAAAGCAAAAGTAACCAATTCGGCGAATGGGTTATTTCCAGATGCATCCCTGTATTTACTTACTTCATTCCAAAATGCTGTCGTATCGGTTTTGTACTTCCAATTAATCAAATTAATTGTTGACAGTTGCAATTCGATGTCTTTTGAGTTACCCATGTACTCCAATAACGGTTGTATTGGTTCTTTATTCGCCCGCAATACATTATATACTGACAGCAGCGATATTTTTTTAAGTATTGTTACGTTCTCAGGCAACCCTTGTTTAAGCTGCTTGAAAAGATTATGTAAAAATGATTTGCAACGATCGCGGATACATTGCTCATCACGAATGTTAATTTTTTCATCCTTCCTGAGCTGCTCCATTATTGTCTCAAACGAATGTCCCAAGTATGGCTGTGGATCGAGATGTTCTTTGATGGAATTCAGTAGAGGATCTACATTACATGATGGCAATACGAGTTTTCTCGAAATTCCTTGTACTACGAATGAAAGATCGTTTAAAAGTTTTAAGTGATCGTTTTTCTCGCTTTGGAATGCCTTGTTCACAACTTGTATTTCGGACAAAATTGGTTTCAGAAATAATAAGTATAGCATATTTGCCTCATCACAATACATGTTATATAGAATTTCCCCAGTGTAGGATTTTTCCGAAAGTCTCGTTATATTAAAATGAGTTTTTAACTCAAGCCATTGATGCAATATTCTATTAACAGCTGCTTCTATAGATATCCCTCTTGTGTTGGAAAGGACCCCGCACGTTTCTTATGGGAAAGTACTTTCGGTCAAAATGGCTGAAAATTTAGTATGTTGTAGTTTATGGTGTCCTGATCAGAAGTCTCAATGGGCACATGGTCCTGGAATCAACAAGTTCTGAGATATTGGAGCTCAAAAGGCGACATCGGATTCATATCGATTATTATGAAAAGTAACATATTGCTACGTTGCCTTCTAATATACAGTATAAATATTTCATTGGTATATAAAAAAACATGTTTTTATTGTCTAGAATATATACTTATTATCTTCACGGCATGTTAGTTAGTTGTACGATAACAAGCATAGTGATTATAATTGGGTATTGTGATGCGTGTGTAAACTTTTACCGCAGCACCTGTAAAGCCTCGGTGGCCTAAGAAAACCATTTTCTTTTCCTTATATGAGTATTTGTGTTTGCAGAAAATGGTTAATAGATTGCGAATACCATGTTATATATGAGACATTCCATTATAAATCGAACACTTTTCAGACGACTATTTTTTAAATCGCTTGAAACTTTTTTTACGTGTTCTAGGCATGAAAAAAGTGGACCTGTGTCTCGGGAATTTTTTTTTTTTTTTTTTCGAAGATATCGGGATTTTAATTTTTGACGTGATGCATTTTATGGCTTCATTCAAACCTTTATATCTCCGGTAAATTTTGTCGAAATGGAACGAATTTTTTTTCATTTTGAAGCTGAAAACGTCAGCTTTCTAATGCTTATTTTTTCAATTAGTGAATTTGCAAAAATAGCGGTGTAAATAACAAATTAATGTTTTAAAATGAATTTTGACATTGATGAACCAGGTTTGGTAAGTTGAAAAAAATTCCATTGAATTCCTCGTCAAATTTCCTAAAAAAAACATATTTTTCCAGAATGGTATCTTTATGGGCACTATTAGAAAAAAATTAATTCTTCCGCGGCGCGCGCACCTCCACGGCGCGCGGGCTCCCGCAGGGACCGTCCGTCAGCCGGCGCGCTAGGTAATGTGCGTATGTATATAACATGCTCAATAATATATATATATTCCCGATATATTTATAGATTTTAAATCAGTTTTACGTAATCGATTATTATTTAAAGAATATGTCTATATTTTTTATAATACAATGTTACTGAAGTCAGTATTATTTTCATTTCCTTAGGTACATGTATGCACGCAGATTTTTTAAGAAAGGTGTAGATGATAGGAGTACAAATTATTATTTAGAATATTTGTAATGCAAAAATGTTTATTTCATTATTTTTACAATCAAATAATTAACTATGAAGCAATAATATACTTAAGTTATTGTAAGTAATTCACTTTGGTTAGAATGTCAAATCGCGCGTCAGTGATTTCAATTTGTCCCTTTGCCACCGCAAAAAAGGCTTGCTGCCCGAGCAAGTCTTCAGAAACCCAGTAACCCTATTCAGACACCCAAAGAATTGTTTGATTGGGCTAAGCAGGCATTACCAAATGTCCATTGCGAGTTTTTTACGAACGAGCAGTATGAAAGCAACGAAAACAAATTAACTTCGCGTTTTCAACTGGCAAAAACCATAAAAAAAAAAAAATTTGAAATCACTGACGCGCGATTTGACATTCTAACCAAAGTGAATTACTTACAATAACTTAAGTATATTATTGCTTCATAGTTAATTATTTGATTGTAAAAATAATGAAATAAACATTTTTGCATTACAAATATTCTAAATAATAATTTGTACTCCTATCATCTACACCTTTCTTAAAAATTCTGCGTGCATACATGTACCTAAGGAAATGAAAATAATACTGACTTCAGTAACATTGTATTATAAAAAATATAGACATATTCTTTAAATAATAATCGATTACGTAAAACTGATTTAAAATCTATAAATATATCGGGAATATATATATATTATTGAGCATGTTATATACATACGCACATTACCTAGCGCGCCGGTTGACGGACGGTCCCTGCGGGAGCCCGCGCGCCACGGAGGCGCGAGCACCGCGGAAGAATTAATTTTTTTCTAATAGTGCCCATAAAGATACCATTCTGGAAAAATATGTTTTTTTTAGGAAATTTGACGAGGAATTCAATGGAATTTTTTTCGACTTACCAAACCTGGTTCATCAATGTCAAAATTCATTTTGAAACATTAATTTGTTATTTACACCGCTATTTTTGCAAATTCACTAATTGAAAAAATAAGCATTAGAAAGCTGACGTTTTCAGCTTCAAAATGAAAAAAAATTCGTTCCATTTCGACAAAATTTACCGGAGATATGAAGGTTTGAATGAAGCCATAAAACGCATCACGTCAAAAATTAAAATCCCGATATCTTCGAAAAAAAAAAAAAAAAAATTCCCGAGACACGGGTCCACTTTTTTCATGCCTAGAACACGTAAAAAAAGTTTCAAGCGATTTAAAAAATAGTCGTCTGAAAAGTGTTCGATTTATAATGGAATGTCTCATATGTGAAACAGCTTTAATGCCTCGAAATATGGTCAAACTATATGGTGATGATAATGCAGGTAGGCAGAAAATAATTATGTCCAGACGAATTGATGCTGGAAGACCGCCTCTTGACATAACACCACTAACTCGGATATGCAACAATTGTAATTTTTCGATCGTACGAGAACTACAAGCACTGGAAAATAATCCTTCATGCTTAAAACTAAATTTTTAAAATAAACTTTATCCCATTCTTGTATGATTTGCAATACAGTTCATGATGTACACAAACTTTCTTTAGATTGTCGAAAAAATATTTATTCGAAGGAATATTTATAATAAATATTCCTTCATGCTTAAAACTAATTAGTTTTAATAAAAACAACAAAATAATAATGATGTCAAATTACGGTATTAAAACAAGCAATGTAAAAATGACAAAATTTATTAAATATTCTATTAATTATAACGAGAAACGTTTCAACTTTACAAAGTCCTCTTCAGTCTCATTAGTAAAAACATATAATAATATAACTTTTTCGTCCCCGTAGTCTGATAAATCAATTAATCTTAGTCATCAAGTCCGCAAATAAAATTCTTGTGACAACTGTCGATGAGCACAGACCTATTCTTCATATACATTGTTACATTTTAAAGCGGAAAATTATACATAGCATCTAATCTGGCAGTTGTGATGCTGATGTATTTGTATTCGGCTCGAGAAACAATTTTATTTGCGGACTTGATGACTAAGATTAATTGATTTATCAGACGGGGACGAAAAAGTTATATTATTATATGTTTTTACTAATGAGACTGAAGAGGACTTTGTAAAGTTGAAACGTTTCTCGTTATAATTAATAGAATATTTAATAAATTTTGTCATTTTTACATTGCTTGTTTTAATACCGTAATTTGACATCATTATTATTTTGTTGTTTTTATAACATAACAAGCGTTATTTATGTAATTATTTATTTGTTTATATTGTTTATATACACGCGGAATTAGTTTTAATAATTCGAATAAATATATTTTTTCGACAATCTAAAGAAAGTCTGTGTACATCATGAACTGTATTGCAAATCATACAAGAATGGGATAACGTTTATTTTAAAACATTTAGTTTTAAGCATGAAGGATCATTTTCCAGTGCTTGTAGTTCTCATATGATCGAAAAATTGTAATTGATGCATATCCGAGTTAGTGGTGTTATGTCAAGAGGCGATCTCCCAGCATCAATTTGTCTGGACATAATTATTTCCTGCCTACCTGCATTATCATCACCATATAGTTTGACCATATTTCGAGGCATTAGAGCATAGGCATTAGAACATATATAACATGGTATTCGCAATCTATTAACCATTTTCTGCAAACACAAATACTCATGTAAGGGAAAGAAAATGGTTTTCTTAGGCCACCGAGGCTTTACAGGTGCTGTGGTAAAAGTTTACACACGCATCACAATACCCAATTATAATCACTACACTTGTTATCGTACAACTAATTAACATGCCGTGAAGATAATAAGTATATATTCTAGACAATAAAAACATGTTTTTTTATATACCAATGAAATATTTATACTGTATATTAGAAGGCAACGTAACAATATGTTACTTTTCATAATAATCGATATAAATCCGATATCGCCCTTTGAGCTCCAATGTCTCAGAACTTGTTGATTCCAGGACCACATGCCCATTGAGACTTTTGATCAGGATACCATAAACTACAACATACTAAATTTTCAGCCATTTTGACCGAAAGTACTTTCCCATAAGAAACGTGCGGAGTCTTTTGTAATATTTGTAAGGGGTGTACACCACAGTTGATCGTCTCGTAAAGCTGAGTGTATTTTATTTGACACGTAACGGATTTTGAAAACCAATTATGAGTCTCGTGAATTAAAAAGTCGTGATTTCGCGGGAGAGTATTAGTCATGGCATGTGACACAGCAAGCTGTAAGGAGTGGCAGAGACATCTAATCAAAATCAATGATGGAACTTCTGCTTTTAGTTTTGTATAAACACCGTTATTTATCCCGACCATAACTGAATTGTCTGTTCCAATAGCTATCAAATTTTGTAAATCTAATTTCATTTCATGGAGAGTTTTCTTTAGAGCGCTGACAATACTATCAGCATTACACGTTTCCAGCTTGGTCAGCGCTAGAAAACTTGAGATGGTTTTTCCATGATTGTTACTGTAGTATATTATAACGATACCCAACAGTTTATTCACGGACACATCGTTCGACTCGTCCAATAAAAGACTATATTTACCGTTGCCAACATCACTGAGCAGGTCGTTGAGGAAGTGAGGACCTAGTACATTTTTGATAATCTCATTGCTTTTTGTTCAATGCAGTCGTATATTTTGAGCAGCTACACTATCCTTGAAAATATTATTGCACATTTCACCCAAATAATCACATGAAACGATTGCGGTATGTACACAGATAAAAAATACCATCGATCCTTCGATAGCTGACGAAGTCAGGTGCTGTTCGCAAAAAGATAATTTTTGTTGCCTTTGTGAAGCGAATGGTTTTACAGCTTCTGTATTTTTATTTGTTTTGCTATGAATGATTAGATCCGCATATCTTGTTGTTAACTCGCATTTGCAAAACTTGCTGTAGACCCTCGTATCGTAGCCCAGAACCTGTTTTGTGATAAAATTTTGCAAGAAAACTGTGTGACAAAGGGATGTAACATATAACATGAAATGTGTAAGAAAATTTTCTCCATGAAAGACATTGTGGAATTACGGAAACATGAAAAGAATATATATATACCTGAACAATCCAATCTTTTAAGTGTACATCTGTGAGCCAGGCAGTTGTGAATTTTTGAATATGAGTCTTTTTTTAATCCTTGCCTATCTTGAAAGAAATGTGGTAGTATTAGGAAGGTTAAATGGAGGAAGTAATACTGGAATCAAATGACAGTTTGGTGAAGTTTGTTTAAGGCAAAATCGAAATGCAGTGTATACCAGCGTATACACGCATCGCAGGTTAGGTCGACAGTGTTGTCTGAAAATAAGCGAGGGCATTTAGGAACACAACCGCTCACCGAGCTCACGAATTATTTGATTGGCAGTGTCCGTTCGATATCAGAATATAGACGAAACTGAGACAAAGGATTTGTTAGCACTGAGAGCTAAAAAAAAAAGAGTCCCCAGTTTGGGCGCAGTGAATTGTCGGTGGAATCGGATGAACGTATCAGTGATTTCTGGTGGAAACTACACGCAAGAGGCTAGTGGTTTTCAGTGGGAAATAAAGACGCTCGCAGTGGAATTTGGGCAAAACGAGTTGGCATTACTGTTTAGGATAAAAGCACAGTATATACAGTAGCGCAACTCTCTGTCGGCACCTTTGATGTTACCGTAGCTAAAAATGAACTGCACATGCGCGGCCGAGGCGCGTAACCAATCAGGGCACTGTATTCTATCTCACTTCTGCTTTCTGTTTATAACCTTTTTTCTCTTTCTAATTTATGTTCTAGCAATGTCCTAACCTAATTTGCACATTTGAACATTTAATACGCGTATTAACAAGTAACTTTTATAAAATTATCTTAATTTATTCCATTATTCACAGCGAATACAGAAATCTATAGTTCTCGTTTACACTATATAGATATTTAATACTCACAGTGAAAAACGAGACGCATTTGAAAGAGAAAATAAAATAAAAATTAAACATATATAATGCACATTTATTTTATAACACTATATTTTGCAATTAAATATACCCACAAAATATATTATTATTAACTAATTGTACAGCAATATTGTATGTATAGCATATATCTTGTGTATACAATATAATATATACGCAATTAGAACAGAAAGTCACAATAAAGTCAAAATGACATTAGAATGATTGAAAAATGACTTTTAATGATCATTTTGGAACAATTATAACATCATTTTGATACAATGATGACTTGTTTTGTTTGGATATATAATTAATGTGGTATTTTATATTTTGAAATATCATAT